CCGAGGTCCGGGCCCGTCCTTCCTGCACGTGGTCCGGCGCAGCTTTGGGACGTGGCCTCTCCCCGTCCTGGTGACCGACTCTGGGCCCAAGGGAACCTGCAGGTGCTCATTCCTGCCTGCCTCCGAGGGGGCCTGGATCTGGGGGCGCCCTCGCTGCCAGGCTGCCTGCTGCTGCTTTCCGTGGGCAGTGGTGGGAGCAGGGCCAACAGCTGACACAGAGCACCGCCCACAAGGTTTATTCGGTTGCACATCAGCCAATTATGCACAAAGTCGAGGCGTCGGGGGGAGCAGGAGGCGGCTGGGGAGCAGGCGTGGGTCCAGGAGCCGCTCAGGACACCAGGACAGTGCAGGGGGGAGGCGCTGTGCAGAAGGCAGCCTGGCTGCACGAGGACAGGTGCGGCCCCTCGGGTCACTGTCCCTCAAGTGGACTCTCACCGAGCTGGGCGCCTCCTGGGGGGGATGGGGGCCCAGCAGTGCAGCAGGCGGATGGAAGCCGGGCCTCCCCAGGCACGCAGGGTGGTGGCCCCTGGGGGGAGGTGCCCTCCACAGAGCTGGCCCCCTCTGTGCAGCCCAGCGGGAGGGTGCAGGGCCTGCGGTAAAGGGGCGCCGTGCAGGGAGGGGGAGGCAGGAACGCCCTCTCCAGCCCTCCAGGGCCGCCTGGTCTGGGCTGCAGCTCTCAGCACCGCGTGAGCTGCGGGAGGCTGGGCTCCCGGACGTCCTCCCTCAGGCGCTGTGGCTCCCTCTCTCGGGTGGCTCCTCCTGCGGCTTCGTGGCCTCCAGGAAGGCCAGCTCCTTGGCCTCCTTCTTCTGGTTCCGAGCCTCGTACTCCAGCCTGGGGGCCGGGGGTGGGGGGGGTGAGTGCGAGCCCAGGCTGCGGGCGCTGCTTCCCACCAGCCTCGGCCTCACCTGTTCTTGATGATGCGCTGGACGATGAGGTCCGTGGTGAGGTCGCTCCCGCTGTCGATCTGACGGAAGATGCCCCTTTTCTTGGGCTCCTGAAGGTGGGGACCGGGGGGAGATGAGGGCCTCCTCTGGACCCCGGGAGGCTGCCCGCCGCCCCAGGATGGTGGGACACTTGCTCCTGTGAGGCCCTGGGGGAGCAGTGGTCCCACCGAGCCCCAGCAGCCCGGGCCCGGCCTGCATGCCCACCTGGTAGGGGTCAGAGCCGTCCTTGTCAGGCATAATTTCCGTCTTCCCGTGACACACCAGGTCCACCTGCAGAGGGAGCCAGGGTCAGGGAGCCCTCCCAGGACCATCCACAGGGCCCCCTGCCCCAGGGAGGCAGCCAGAGCCAATGCCTGGCTCCTGCCCCAGCCCAGCCCTCCTCGGACCCCGCACTGGGAGCTGCACCTTGAAGTGGTCCAGGAGCTCTGCGGTGACGGCGTAGGGGGCCCCGATCACCACCTCTGACACGTACTGTGGGGACAGGCATAGCTGTTAGCAAGGACCCCACAGGCTGAAGGGGGGTGGGGATGGCCCCATGCGCTGGCCGAGGCGGCCGCAGGGGATGCAGGGACACAGCATGGTGGGCTGGCTGTCCGGGGTCCCTGCCGGGCCACCTCCCGCTGTCAGGCTCACCCGGCATGCCAGCACGCTCAGGGTCCGCTCGTGCAGGTTCATGATGGGGTAGTTCTTGCCCTTGTAGTGGTTGACCTCCTACGGGCAGAGTGGGGACGGTCAGCAGGCACCCTGCCAGCGACCCTGGTGGGGCACCCACCAGCGTGGGGAAGGCTGAGAGGACAACCCTGCCCAGGAAGAGGCCCCAGCTCAGCTCGTCTCTGCCTCTGTCAGCAGCCGGGGCCTCACTCCCCATGGCTCCCAAGCCCACCTCCAGGGTCCCCAAGACCAGCTCCTCGGGGCAGAGACCTGGTCGAAGTGCAGGCCGGCGATGACATAGGGCCTCTCCACCAGGCCATGCACCTTCGCCAGGAAGTCCACGTGCCCGATGTCTGTGCCGGGTTCAGGAACAAGTAGCAGGACAGGGGCAGCCGCCCTCCCACCTCCCTCAGTGCCTGAGCCACCCCCCAGGGCCGTGAGATCAGTGAGGCCTCCCTGGGGCAGGTGTGGGCACGCAGAGCCCCTGCCCAGGCCAGAGGATACGGAATAGGTCGAAGGCACCCGCCACATAGATGACCGTGTCCCCCGGCTGCGGCTCCTTCCCAGAGGCAAACTGGATGATCTTCCGGGACGTCTGCAGAAACTGGGACACCCCGGTCCAGGGGTTCCGCCCCCCCGGGCACTATAAGCCGAGAGGAGTCCCTGGTCAGCCATAGAGGCTTCGCAGACGGGTCCCTCGCCTGTCCCCTCCGCTGAGTCGGGTTGCTGCGCACGCCTGCTTGGGAGGCACGGGGGTGGGATGGAGGCAGCAGGTGTGGGGGCCACAGGTCAGGACTAAACCCAGCCCAGCCTGCCAGCTGCTCACTGGCTCAGGTACTGTTTCCCGGCAGGTGTCTCAGGCAGGGACACGGAGGGCTGGCCATAGTGCCCAGTACACATCCAGGCTACGCTGGGCAGGGGCCCCATGGCCACAGAGGGCTTTGCAGCCACCACCACCTAGGTCTAGGAGGGAGGCCATGGACATAGCACTCCTGCGGACCCCGCACCCTGAGGCCACCGCTGGTCACCTGGGAGGAACCTTCTGAGAAAAGCATCTCCCTGGCAGGTGTCAGGTGAGGGGGCTAGAAAGGGAGAGAGGGCCAGGCCGCCTGGTTAGAGGCCGCCTGTCCACGGGCCGGCCTTGCTCCTCCTCTAGGCAGTGCTGGTCAGTCCCTGGTCAGCGCCCGGAGGCAGGGAGCCGGGGGCAGGCGAGGCTCCGGCAGCACTCACCTTGCCGAAGCTGTCTGCATACGCCCGGTACTCCGAGGACATCTCCTGCAAGAAAGGGTGAGGGTTGGGCCTTCCCCTCCAGGTGTGGCCACGCCCAGGACACTGACCCGCAGCCTGGAGCTCCTCCCCTCCAGCCACGTCCTGGGTGAGGGGACCTCGGAGGTTCTGCGCCCCCCACCCCAGCCTCACCTGGCTGCTGTGATGGGCCTTGGTCATCAGCAGCATGCGGCCCACGAGGTCTGTGGTGGACACGCCCTGGGTGCGCTTGCACTCTCTGGGGACAGAGGTGACAACAGAGGTGGGGTCGGAGCTCTCGGGTCACCTGCCTCCTGGGGGTGCTGTGCACAGACAGCGTCTCCTTGAGGCTCTGGGCATGAACGGAAACTGGGCCGCTCTGCGGTGCAGCACCCCATCCTGGCACGACTGAGAGCAGCACAGGCCGTAGCCGCACATCCCCCCACCCCAGGAAAGGGGGCGTGGTCGGCTCACCTGTACCTCCCGGCCTGCTTCACTTCCTCATAGGTGTCCCGGCCATCGACAGTCAGGGTGATGTCATCTGAGAGGTGACAGGCACATGGAGCAGGACTGTCAGTCCAACGCCAAGACCTTCAGGCTCACAGCCCGCCCCGCCTGCCCTGTGGCCTGGGCTCATTTCTGGGGAGGGACCCCAAGGGCTCAGGCTGCCCCAACTTAAGGAGGCCCAGCACTTCCTGTGACACTCCCCCCCCACCCCCCCGGCCTGTGCCCGCCCTGCCCGCCCACTCACTGCCGTGGACACAGAAGTCGCAGCTGTATTTGTCCAGCGTCTCCAGCGTGGTGACGTAGGGGGCCGCCGGCACCACCTCGTCCACCCACTTGATGGCCTGCACCATCTTGTACCTCTCCTCCTGCGTGAACACTGGGGGCCCCTTGTGCTTGGAGATCTCCTCTGGGCCAGAGAGGAGAGGAGGCAGGGTGGTGACCATGGAGGTTGCGTCCACACCGAAGCGCCCTCCACGCCCGAGTGGCCACCACCGTCCTCCTTGGGCCACCACCACGCAGGTGGCCCCTCCCCCTCCATAATCCCAGGGGATGGTGGGGGCCCCCTGGCAAGTGGGCAACCCCAGGCGGGCATGGGGTGGAGGTGGGCGCAGCCCCACTTACCGTCGGTGTGCACGCCCACGATGAGGTAGTCCCCCATGGCCCGTGCCTGGCGCAGCTGATTCGAGTGGCCATAATGTACCATGTCATAGCTGTGGAGAGGGCAGGGCGGTCAGTCCCGGGTGGCCTGTGGGCGGCCAGGAGCACAGGCTGGCTCCTCTGAGAAGCCGCCACTGGGAGCTGCTCCCAGGGTCTGGGGAGTCTGGGCTTTTGGAGGGGAGGGTGCTCAGCCCTGCACAGCCTGGTCCTGGGGTCCAGGGCCAGACTCAGCAGGGCCGCGGCCTGCAGGACCTGAGGACTGAGAGCACACAGCACAGCTCCTGCCCCCACCCGGGCCTGCGTGGCCCCCGGGCCCCCTCCTAAACTCACAGCGCCATGGGTGGTCCCTTTAAGCTGCAGCATGAGCGGGGAGCTGAACTCTACCACCCTGAGACGGGGGCCAGTCTCCGGGACCAACAGGAAGCAAAGTCTAACCAATGAACAAGCTCCCAGGACCTCGGGAGGCCGACCACCACCTCCCTGTCACCTGGTCCCAGAGCTCTTAGCCTCAGATCCGGCCGGTTCCGAGTGAACTCAGCTGACGGCCGCAGACAGCAGCCACTGTCCGGCTGGGCCCCACCTGCCCCGTGTGCTGGGGAGACCACACTGCCCAGCGGCGCCCTCAAGCTCCTCCTACTCCTTCCAGCCTCCCATGGCCTCGGAGCAGGAGAAGCTGTCCCTGCTTCAGCTCAGTGCCACCTGTCAGCTCCGCCTCCACACACCCGCCCGGGGTCACAGGGCTCTGGCCCTGGGGTAAGGGAAGAGGGAAATCCAAATCCAGGGCCCTGGGGCCCTCGACCCCTGTGCCCGCTGGACAGGCTGGGCCGGGGGTGCACCGAGTGCAGGTGCCCTGGGTCCAGGCTGCATCCTGTCACTGCAGCCCTGTGGCTGTGACCTGCCGGGGCCAGCACCTGGCCTGGCCAGGCCCAAGGTCAGAGTCCACGGACACGCAGCCAGGCTCCCTCTCCCCACGGTGATGCAGGTGCCGGGCAGGGGCCCCGCCCCCGAGAGTGTGTTTCCCCCTCTGCTTCCATCGCAAAGGCGGCGAGTTACCCACTGACAGCCCCGCACACCACCCCACTCTGCTGTCTGGCTCGCCGGCGGGCGGATGGGCACCCACGGGCGGCACGGGGGTCCCGGGGCCACGCTGTTCCC